CCAGGGCTGGCTGGGCACTCCCATTCCCGGTTTTCCGGCAGGTGCTGGATCAGCTGGATCTCCACCTGCGCTCATCCCAATATTTCCGCTTCCTGTGGTTCCCGCACAGCGACCACGTCCGGATCATCTACCAGGACCCCACCACCAGGGCACGCCCGCGATTCCCGACGGGAATGCCGGGAATGGGGGGAGGGGGGAGTGCTCTGGGACCGGGTTGGGCACCCCACGGGTGGGAATCCCAGGGTTTTCCAAGCCCTTGGAATGCTCAGGGCAAGTCCTGGCATCCTTTGGGGAATGAATGGGACCTGTTCCCACGGTCTGGGAATTCCAGGGTTTTCCAAGTTCTTGGAATCCTCAAATTCTGGTATCCTATTGGGGCTGGATGGGATTTGTTCCCACAGTCTGGGTGGGAATCCCAGGGTTTTCCAAGCCTTTGGAATGCTCAGGACAAATCCTGGTCTCCTTTAGGGGCTGGATGGGATTTGTTCCCATATTTTGGGAATTCCAGGGTTTTCCAAGCTCTTGGAATGCTCAGGACAAATCCTGGAGGGGGGGGCGGGGGGGAACAGAAATTCTGGGAATGCTGGGATTCACACTCCGGAATTCCCGCCCTTCCCTGAATTCCCTGCTCTTGGATCCGCAGGCTCCCAGCTCCCCTCCGTCCAGCTGGCTCTGGGATCGCGCCGTGGGGCATCACCTGCTGGAATTCCTGCTCTGGATCAGGTGGGATTCGGGATCGGGATCGGGAGGGAGGGGTGGGATTTTCCCTGCCTCTCCGTGCCTGATTTCCCGGGATTTTCCGGGAAGGACGGGCAGGGACCTCTCCTGGAGCTTCCCCGGCCCGAGGAGAGGAGGAATTCCTGGTTTTTATTCCAAGAGTTCCCGTGCGGGAGGGTGGGGATGGTTGGGATCGCGGCCGGGGCTGCACCGCCCTCTGGCGTCCATGGAAATCCGGGAATCATCCCGGCTGGAAAAGCCCCCTTGGGATCGCCGGGGGCCACATCCACGGGGATTTTTCTCCCCTCCCCGCAGGGGTGGGATCCCAGAATTCCCGGGAAAGCCTCTCCCGGCGCTGAGGGGAGGTGGAATTGCCGCTGGAAAGGGAGGAGGGGTTTGGAGCTGGGATGGGTTTGGGAATATCCCTGGGAACCCCGGGGTGGAGGGATCCCTGGAGGCTCCAAAAAACCGGGAAAAGCTGGGATTGGGGACCACGTCGGGCTCTGCCAGAGGGTCCAAAGGGCCATTCCAGGTGTTCCCGGGATTCCCCCAGTGCCGGGACACTCCAGGGGATGATCCTGAAAATCCCTTCCCACCCAAACCATTCCGGGATAAAGGACACTCAGGATCCACTCAGAGGGGTTTTTATGGAATGTGGGGATGGAAAAGGCAGGAAAGGGGAAGGGAGCCCCTTCCCTGAGTGCCGAGATTCCCAGGGAACCCCCCCTTGTTCCCGGAACTCCTTCCCAGAGAGGAGTTGGGCTGGGGATGGATCCAATGTCAGGCTCTGGCTCCAGG